TACGGAGGCAATATTTTTTTCATAGGAATAAAAAGGAAAAAAGATTTCTCTTAAAATATTGATAGGTCCAGGGTGACTCCAGTGACTATTTTATATTTTAATTTCAATCAAAATCTTTGATAAAATTCAATTATTTCACAGTTATATAGAATATGTGAATTAAAGTTTCTGCACTGTATGACCTTAGAAGAAATCGATCCCACATTTCAATTTACAGGGACATGACGCCTCACCTACTGAGAATGACATTACTTGTAAGAATTTGTCTATTTATCAATCCAATTGCAATCAGGAAATTGTCACTAGCAGACAGACTGCTTGAAATTTCAACCCAAACACTGGGTCAATCCAACTTACTTTTCTTAAAATAAGCTGAGGGGTAGTTTTTAGCTCTACTGGTCAGAGACCAGAAGAGCTTATGCGATAGTCGTCTGTCTGTTTGTCTGTAAACAATCTCCTGCGTCAGTTTTGGTCCATTTTCAATACAACTTGGTACACAAGTAGATACATATCAACTTATAATTCTTAATACCTTTTTTTTTCTTTCGATAAACAGTGTTGTCAAAAATAGAAATTTCTGTGAAATTCTTTCAAAATGCTACTTCTCCAACAGTTTTGATGTCAGTAAAACTTTCTACACAAGTAGACTACACTAAGATATATGATTCTGAGCATCGGTATTTGATTTCGATGAACAGTGTTTTCATGGTTACTAAAAATAGAAAATTACACGAAATTCAGTCAAAATGCTACTCCTCCTACAAATGTTGGTCTGATTTCAAATTAAACTTGAAACACAAGTAGACTACAGAATAAGATACATAACTATGTATCGGTTTTTGATTTTGACAAATATTGTTGCCATGGGTACTAAAAATAAAAAATTCTGTGGGTGACTTTTTTTTCAAAATGCTACTCCTCCAACAGTTTTAATCCAATTTCAATAAAATTTGCCACAGAAAGAGACTAAACAAAGTCATTAATCTATCTATTGTTATTATCATAACTTCAAGTTAAAGTGCTACTTCACTCTTCCTTTGGTATCAATACAAACCAGTAGAGCTACAGCCTCGTTAGAGACTTCTGGTTATATATAGGTCTCAATGAAATGAATTTCTAAGAAGGTTAAAATTTTTATATTTCGAACTACTGATGCATCATTAGCGCCTTTATTGAAAATATTTTAAAACTTATATACTTTATCTTCTTATATTAACGACAACAATAAAACTCATGGAAATGTTTTGTCCTGGAATAACAGTCCATTTTTATGAAACCAGCAAAAGAAATTGCTTTCCTACAGCCAAATTTAACCTACACGTATCTGCAAAACATTTTTTTAACTTTGCTTCCTATCTTCTAATATTAAATAAAACGTATTTTATTATATGGTTGAATAATTCCTAGTTCTCTGACTGAGATCCAACATTGTAGAAATCATATTAAATTATGTTAACCTGAACCAGACCTTCCAGGTGAACATCACATTTTTTTCTACCATGGACAAAACTTCTACTAAAGTAATAAGGTCACGTTGAAATTTTGAATTTACCGGGTGGCAGTTAATATAAAAATTATAACATGTAAATTTTGTATTTACAGTCACCCGGCAAATTCAAAATTTACAACCTGGCAATATTATACAATTATTGCTGGGTTTTGAGGTCAATACGATGATTTAGACACCTGAGGAGTACAATATTCACCTCGCCCTTCGGGCAATAATTGTTTTATTATATGATTCAATGATTAAATGACACACACTCGTTAAGCAATCCATGCCATCTTACTTGTTAACATCTACTGAAGTACTAACCGAAAATAATGAGAGAAACGAGGTTAAAAAATACAGTTGTATTATTTTGGAATTTTTAATTCTAATTTAGGTGCAATGTAGAAAAAATAAATGTCAGTCAAATATATATGATTGATTTTGAAAAAGAGGGCATTAAAAGGAAAAAAAATGACAACTTACCTGAAAACAAATTTTTGACTACCTCCCCCCCCCCCCCCCCCAAGGAAAAAAATTCTCCCAACTCAAAATTTTATTTGATGGGATGTAAAGGTCCATAAACGAGTGGAGGGGGCTTTCATTGAAATTTTTTATTCTTAAAATTTAAATTAAAACTTTACATTCTCAAAATATGGGGCGAGGGGCAGGCCTCCTGCAACCCCCCACCCCCACCCAACCCTTCACCAAGAATCTATGTGCCTTAATGTTATGTTCATATGAGTGGAAGTCAGGTGCAAGTGAAATAACTTTCCAAAACTATTTGCATCAATTTGGAATTTCCCTATCTATTTTTGGTCCAATGTAGAATAAATGATTCCTTATATTGACCTGGAAGGTCACGTGCAGATCAATATAACGTAGTATTTTTCTAACATTGTTGGATCTCAGCCAATCAGAGAGATGGGCATTATTCAATCATATAATAAAATTGGTTATGAAAAGTTATTTCATATGCACCCGAATTCCAAGTGAACATTACATTTATTTTTTTTTTCTGCATCAAACCAAAAATAAATCAATAAATTCAGATTTATACAACTGGATATATTAATTTTAATCCCGCTTCTCTCAACAAAGGTAAGCAAGCATGAAATTAAGATGACAGTCATTAAATCATATAATAAAACAATTATTTTTTTTTTAGTCAATACGATGACCTAGCACCTTCGAAGTACAGTATTCATCTCCACCTTCGGGTTCGGTGAATATTGTACTCCTCGGGTAACTGAATCATCGTACTGACATTAAAAAACAGCAATAATTTTAAAATACCCCCGATAACCACAAGCGATCTTATTAAATGTATGCAGTACTTCAGAAATGATTTATAGATTTAAAAAAAAACAGTTCCCGAGGTTGATAGAATGCTTTTTATAAATGGGAAAAGAGTGAGAAATATTTGCAAGGGTCTAATATTTCTGTAATTTGCTAAAAGTCGAGACATGATGTTTCTGATGTTTTACATTTTCTCCCCATAGGCAGGAATTGGTCAAGAGGGAAGGGAGGGATTTGAAGATAAGGTGGATACTGTTCCCTTCCTAGTATTATTGAGCACAATTGATACATTATTTAAAAAGTTGAAAGGCACCAATTTCTGAATTTTCAAGATAACGAGTTGTTGTCACATTGTCGATTTCACTGCCACCCCATAAATTTAAAATTTACAATATGACATATATCTTCTACGTATACAATTTCAATATAGATCTAAGATGCAATACAATACTGTACGAATATCCAAAATTAAAGGAAATTGTAGTTAATATTGCATGGATGATATTAACATGTTCCGAAACTAATCAACTGTGTCAAATTGCAGTTTTAATAAAAATACGTATAATTATTTGTCATTATTAATAATGACTCATTAGTATTGATAACCAATGTGTGTGCTGACTCCAAGGTATTAATCAAACTATGCAGCTACATAGATAGGGTATATGAACAAGTCTGTCCTCCATAATTATTATTATTATTATTATTATTTTTTTTTTTTTTTTGGTTACTTTATAATTTGAATGTATTTCCGCCATTTCACGTGTATCTTGTATATTGTTTTTGTATATATTGTACATAGAACCTCATGTACCATTAATTGGTTTGACTGAATAAATTGAACTTGAACTTGAACTTTTTACATTTGCAACTTCTCCTGAACCGCTGTCAATCAAATCTGCCCGAAAGCATTCTTGGCTAATTGATTCCTCTTTCAAAGGGAAGTAATTTTCAATAATCATTGAAAATCTTTTAGAGTCATATAAAACCATGCAGTGCAGTGATTTATAAAAAATTAATTATTTACTGAGTATGGATTCAAGTTTGATCAATTTATTAAAATTAATTTTTAAAGTATAGCTTGACCCCAAGTCTAAAAATACCGTTAATAAAAAATAAATTTGATATCAGGGATTTTCTTATGGCTACAATAATGGTTTTCGTGCATATGAATTCGCCTGCAACGTAGGAGAGCGCAAAGGCACCTGACGAATGGTTGATGTAACCCCCCTCCCCCTTTCATCTGAGAATTGTTTAGACACGATTGCTTAGCAAATATACATGAATTCCCATTCTATCATACCAATACTTCGACATTTGATATCATATACCGTTTTTCATGTTTAAGAGATTGCCCCTTTACGGTAGTATTTTTAAAGGGACAATCTCTAAAACATTACAAAAAACGGTAAATGATATCAAATATCGAAGTACTGGTCTGACGGACTAGGAATTCATGTATATTTGCTAAGTTATCGTTTCTAAATAAATTCTCAAAAGGAGGGGGTGGGGGTTTATATCAACCATTCGTCAGGTGCCTGTGAGAGAGTGTAGTGTTCCATGAGTCTCGATCTTGATTTATTTATAAATCATTCCTATATATACTTTTTTCATGAGACAGAAAAAATTCATTAAAATCAAATCAGAGACATATCCACAGTTTATTAAGAAATATTAGACAAGTCTTGGGAGTGGACAGTGGAAATAGCAGTCCAACAAACCTAAAATGTATTGTAAAACTGCTCTATCTATTGTTCCTTCCCCCTCCATCAAAGTTAGCCTTTTCACCCGAAAGAATTAAGTTTATAAAACACATATATACGCTAAAATAATGTCTACATATTTCAGACGCACTTAATGTCTGAGTGGTAATTTCTCGTGCCAGAACTCTTTTGTTTTGTTATTACCTCAATTAACTCTTGCTGCTCTGCACATAAAAGGGGTCAGTCGCATTTACATTTTTATCACGTATAAGAAATGCAACTGACGCTGGTTATATTAAAAATTTGTTCTATGCGAATGAGCGCTGTGATCAAAATTAAACTGTCACGTTTTACTTTGGTTTTCACTCGACTTAACACCCCATATAACTGTTTCCTCTTTCTGTTGTACCGAAGCCATAGGAATTGTATGTCTCCGCGATTTGTTTTCTTGTGAACATCTAGCGGAATACTAAGTATACTTATGATAGCTTGCAAGGTGTAGTAAGAGAAGCGGTATATTCTCCTCTCTCTCATTGCTGGAGCGCAGAGCGCAGCTCATACCGTGATTGATAAATATATCATAAACCCTTGAGGAAAAGAGCCTATACCTCATTTACCGCTGCCAAGATTTCTTGAACATTTTACGTGCTTTAAAACCCGCATTATTATTATTTTAACTAAGAATTTACCGAACTTCTCACAATAATGAGTTGGATTTGGGTAAAACTCAACATGCTATGAAAACTGTGGAAATCGGTGCTTAGTGAGATTTGAGTGTGGAGAGAAATAGTTTAATTCTAGTTTTGGGAGGTTTGCTGTAAAAAAAAATTAACAATGGGTGAGTCGAAAAACGGAGAGAAAAAGAAGGTGAAAATCAACGACGACAGAGGGGGGACGGTTGAAGTGAGTGAGAAACATGGACCTCTTTTTAATGCCATACCCAAGATGCATTTATGTGCTGCAGTCATTCTTTGCCTCGTAAATATTGCCATTCCGGGCATGGGTGAGTAGATTTCAGAAAGTAAAAGATCTTATGCATTGTATATTGCAACAACTGTTTGATATGTTTGGGAGGCTAAATAATGATAAATATCTATGAACTGCTTGTAATGTATCATAACCGCTGATCTCGATTACATTTCAAAAACAAACCTTCTTGTCCTCGCAAAGATTCGTGATATTGAGTTACTGGTATGTTTGTTGTTTTTTTTCTGGAATGCGATCGTCAATAACTACATTAATCAAGATTTCTACTTAGAATATCCTAGTTTTTCATGAACCTGGTAAACATGCTTCCGAAACACACAATTGATTGGAAGTTGCATATGCATCAACTTTTTTTTATCTTGCGTTAGATTTTAAAGAAAATACAATTCTGCACTGAGAGCAGATGGACTACACATGGTTTCAAACCGCTTTTCAGTTATTTTCTTGGAGAAAAGATTCCCCCATTGAAGAATTTTATTTGTTTTTTTTTTTTTTTTTTTTTGTTTGTTTGTTTGTTTGTTTTTTTTTTTGTTTTGTTTTGTTATGTTTTTGTTTTTTGGTTTCTACCAAGAAATACGAAAAAGAGAATAAGAATATGGTAATCAGCTGTGAGTGGGAGCTATATGTATGTGTACGTGTCTCGTGCGTTCTGTGAGTTGGATGATCTAACGATTATGCACAATGACAGCAAGAAGCAGATAAACGCTCTTCTGAGTTCCACTGCGACACAAAATATGCAATTACTTTGGAAAGACTAGAACTGTATTAAGAAGGTATAGATCAGTTTTCTCAAATACAAAGATAACAATCCCAGAGTTTTTTTTTTTTCTAATGTATAAACTAATAGACACTCTTTATCGATTGATATATATTCAGCTACCCGACCAGTGATCGAGTTTGCTACCCGAGGACTGAGTGCGAGGGTGATGTACCGGTACATAAACATTACTAGTTAATTTCTCGTTAATGATTGTCGCAAATCGCAATGATATTCATTTTTTTTTTAAGAATTCACGTCCCTTATCAATGTTAGAATTGGCGATAAAAGAAGCGATGAAGGTATTTAATCAGCAAAATTTATTTATATATCAGCAAACCCCTGAGGTGCGTGCTATGTGGGAAGGTGTGGCTTCGAATACAACTGAAATGTCTTCGTGATAAAACTTAATCTTTTCTCCAATATCAGCATCCCATCAGCAAATTCGCCGTAATTTTTTCTCTTTCGACAAAGTTAACCGTCAGAATTTATCAAGTAGGAAATGTTCAACAAAGTGAAGTTGTATGTACATCTGGGCAGCATAAATATTGTGTATCAAAAGGTTGCGGGAATTCCGCGTATTTAGATCTAAATTGATTCTTGAGAACTTATCAATCTTTCTGAGTGAGCTCGCTGTCAACTAAATCAAAGCCCAATACAACTGCAAAACAAATCCTCTTGTATGAAGTTTTATGAATTCTCTTTATTGTAAAATCAAATTTTGTCAGTGATGTTTCCATCCAAAATATTATTTTGTAAGCGTCTAATTTAATCAAAACAGTCTTTGATCTGCGAATCCTTTATCATTGTCATCAAATACAAACAATAATTAAAAAAAAAATCATTTTATCTGCCAGTAATTAAAACAACTAGGTTTTCATTAGAATGGAAATTAATAAGAAATAAGGAATGACAGCTAACACGTGTAACTAGGTCTACCAGGAAAAGGAAAAAATAATAAAAACAAATATATCTTGTTAAGTAGTATGTACTGGAACAAAGTTTACTATTAACTTGTAAGATTTAATACGAATTATTGGGTATAAAAGCAAAATATAGGTACCTTAATGTCAGAGTTGTAAAATGTCGGTGATTTACTATTCCTGTCTCCTTTTCACGTGATTTTGGCATTAATCAAAACAATATACTACACTACCTTTTTTCTGTTATTCAAAATCTGAATTCTTCGGAAAATTGCTAGTTACTCTTAAAACGACTTTGTGGTGACAAAAGTCAATTTTGGCATACCAAGAGAGTTTTAACCTATATTCTTTAACCAGAGATCAGAGAAGAAGCAGGGGCTTTGAGTGACAATTTACACGAAGAAAATAGATATATCAATGTATACGAGGGGTTATCAAAAAGTTCGTGGACTGACGCGATAAAATTAATAATATGTAGTCTTTGCTTACAAAATTTATGCGGAACATAAAACAACAAAAGTTTAAGAAATGTTGAAAATTTTAGCTTAATAAGTTGATAATTTGCCAAATTATTCTAAAATTAAAAAGACTTTATGTGATCACCCGGCGCTGTCGCCGTTTAGTGTCATGACATCCGCTTAACGTCATTGTTTCTTAATGTCCTCTCTCTCTACCTCATACACTTATCTTGATGAGATTACCTGGAGTTAAGTAAGGACTTAAACCCGTCTTATTTATATGAATTTACAATGTCATGAGCAGCTGTTTTCAATGCATATAATATTGTAAATAGATCTTTATATGGGGAAAGATCCTCACCTGATTATGCCAGAATACTTAAGCTTGTTGGAGTTCAATTTCTACCACACATGATCAACGTCACTTTTCGACGTGACTGATTTTTGACACCCTGACTACAAATCGACACTTACTGTGCATATTTCATCTCTCTGAATCTTTTTGGGCATTAAAAAACAAGTACTCTGGATGCATTTTATTTTTCTGTAGCCAGTTTAAACATTCCTTAGGTCAATACCAGTTTTTCCAGGACCGAAACTCTATAGAGTGTTTGAAAAAGAAACCCATCCCCCTTTTGACGTTATTTTCAAGCCCATAATTGTTTGGACACTCCATATAAAATTTACGATAAAATTTCATAGAAATTACAGAATGGGGTAAAAATTGCAAATTTTACTGAACAAATGTGTCGTACCACATGCCTGAATTAACGAGATTTTTGATGACAAATACTCATATCTAAAGAGGTTTTCTCAGTTACACTCAGGTAGAAAAAAACGTCATATTAGAGGTTGCGCCGCCTGGACATACTTTTGCTTACAAAAACACTAACATTTTATTAAAAAATAAAAATTATGATTTATGGTTTATTCTATAGATAGAAAAGATGATGCTAACTAAATGTGTAAAAATTCATTGATGTACCTAAAGCGGTTTTAATTTTATGACGCTAGTCCACGAACTTTTTGATAACCCCTCGTATATGTATGTTATGTCGAAATATTCTGGGTCAGACTGCGTTTTGAGCCTAAGACTTTTGCGCCTTTGCAATCAATCTGCACTCTTATTGCGTGACAGATTGAACATTTTACCAACCATCCATATAGCCATTACCGTATTTCTTTCATTGAGATTAAAGATTATCAGAAATCTGACATCCTGAAGAAAAGGTATATTTTTGCAGTTGTTTCCCTATCGTAGAATATTGAAGCTGTATTTCTTGACCATGGAGCCACACTCTTCATATATTGCCTCGATTTATAAAGAAAAACAGAGAGCCATCTTCAGTCTCAGAGGAAGGTTAAAAAGTGGATACCACGTTATTCTTGGATCTCGACTTGCAAGTTTGAATGTCCTTTCCGAGTTGTTTTATATTGTTTTTAATTATGGTCTTCTTCATTAGGGTTTGAAAGTAAACAACTAAAACATAATGCTAAATTTCTTGTTCTTAAATTATATGTGGGACGCTTTTCACAACTTTACACGGGTACAATAGCAATAGCGCTTGAAAGTGCCTTTATACATATATTTCTTCAAAATGATTTTATCTCTTGAACATAGATATATTCGCATCACATTGAAAGGAACAAAGTATCTGAGAATTCAACGAATATCGTTAACGAGAGAATAAACCAAGAGTCCGTTTATATCGCCTTCCATTCATTAAACTCTTTGAGTTGAGGAACGCCATAATACAGAACGCGTGTGGTGTGTCAAAATTAACGATCTATGCTAAGTGAGAGTTCCATGGTTTTCTGATCCGAGCGCCAGGGAAAGGTGGATGTACAAAAAATCGGCTACTAAAATATTCTTCAAATGAAATAAAAGTAAACAAGCCCAGAGGCTCAGACACGAGTGCCGTCTGCCATTCTGGGGGCTCCTTCATGTCACTCAACGCATCTGTTTACTTCCCCTTTAATAAATAGCTTTGGGAAGCCTTTATCCCTTGCTCTGATATACAAAATTGAAAACTCGTGATGAAATAGATGTTTCTTGGTAATTAGAGCCACATTCCACGCTTCCTAAATGCATTTATATACAGAGGATGGACTTTAAAAAATCATTATCTTCAGTTTTCATTGACGAAAAAAATGGAATCGTATGTATCATGGATCCGCATTAATCTGTTCATCAATCTACCAGACCAAAACTTACATCCATCATACAGCAACAATACGTAAACAGGAAACCTAAAACATATCCTATGTCTGATGAGTTTTTCTTCCCTTTTTTCTTTTTGAAAGAAAAATCAGCTATACTTGTTTTACTATATATAGGGCATATAGTTTGGTTAAATGTTATACTCTTGTCGAAGTTTTTTCCCATTTTAATCAGAGAGCTTGCTGTGAAAAGTGTAAGGATTCCTAAATGTGCAATAATTTAAGAGTTTAAGCAATTCACAAAAATTAATGAATTTAAACATGCTATTCCAGAATCTCTCTGCTAGGCAACATAATAAACAAAATTAAATTTGACTGGATCAGTTTTTTTATTCACTCAAGAATGTTACAGATGCCAGTATTTTACATATGAAGCGTCGAAGACGAAGCTGGTGTTGCCATCAACTTTGATTTGATATAATTTTGTAGATAAATGTTAAATTTTTAAGAGCCTAACTGAAAGATATGTTTATGCAGTATTGCCTCCTCATTGAACCTTTTTGGATCAATGCAATTGACCTTTTGGAACATTTTGCAACACCGATGAAAAATGATTATGATTAGAAGATTAGTTTTTGAAGGAAGATGCATCATATACAGGTCATAAGATGAGCAGGTATATCACCTTGGAGCGTTAGTGTAACAATTAACAAGCATTCATTAACCGACACACTAAAAAAATTCAATGCCAGCATCTGTTGTTCTCTAAAGCTCAACACGTATTGGCATTCTCGGAATCCTCTGTTTAATGACAGTAGAGAGTACCTAAGATTTATTATTATTTCATGATTAACTATGAATTATTTGATTAGTTGTCAGTTATTTTATGATAAATGTCTGTTATATAATTAACTGTTATTTATTTCATTAATTAACAAGTCAACAATTCATCAACAACAAATGCACTGAAGGTACATAACACCAATTCCTCTTTTTAATCGTCTTCTTTTGCTTTCGTCAATTGATCTTTTGGAGTTTAGGTTGTTTTTTCTCCTCTGCCTGAAACTTTAACCCATTGTTTGGCACTTACTCTACAGATTTGTCTAGAGAGTGCTTCAGAAAAGAATGTAGAGATGAAGGAAACGTAGGCTTTACTCAGCGGCGGAACAAGGTCGCGTGTACAAAGGAACTTGTTCCTCAGGTGCATATCATTGTCAGGAACCATGCTCTTTAACATGGCTAATGCAGTCGTGTTGTTATGAAGAAGATGTGCAATATGTTGCAAGAAAATAATATCTGGCAACACTTGAACAAGCAAAGTATTGTACTTGTGGATATCCTTTTTTTAGTATTTTTGGTTGGTGGCGCCATCTTTGTTTTTCCAAGTTCAAAATTTACGAGCAGATGATTGAATTTTCTTTCGTCATTAGTTTGATTTTTTTATAATGCAAGGGGAAAAAATGCACTTATAGACGTCTTGTACAACAAATGTGAGATTTCCTGTTTCTATCTAGATCTCTCTACCTACATGAGTAGCTCAAGATTGGTACAAAATTGTAAAAATAAATCCCCTAGTTTATGCTATTTCCAGGATTTGTTGAACTTTATGAAATAAAAATATTGAAGTTTAACTTGGAATTTCCCGTGATTTACTGATGATACAAGTCGTCCAAAAACATGTACTGGTGCTTTTGGCACTAGTCAAATTTTTCAAGATATGCTTTAATTTCATTGACTCATACACTTTAATGATTAAAAAAAAAATATTCAAACAAAAAAAATTTCAAACTTGCTGATTTATTTTCTTGTTTTTTAGGAACCCTCATTTCAGCGTTCACCGTATTCTGTGGTTGTCCTACAAAAATAGAGAAGCGTATGAATGCATTTCTCCTGAACCTCCTAGCGGCCTTTTTACAGATGGTGACATTCATAGTCATTGTGGGCTGGATTTGGAGTATTTTATGGGGAATGAATTTTGTACAGCTAGCTAGTAAGTATCGACAGTGTACATTTTCCTATACTTCTAGCACTGTTGAAGACTTATTTTTTACCTCGAATTATGAACTCATACTAAGTATATGTAGTTTTGATTCTTGAGTAGTGTACGAACCATGTAATTTGGCAAAGGAAGTTAAAGCAAAAGGATAAGACCTACCTTCAAATCTCTTTCTACTGGTTTCTAGCCTTGATGTAGAATATAAACATTTGCAGTTAATGGTATTTTGGTTTAACATTATGGTAAATTAAAAATAAGAAATGTTAAGTCCGTATTATCGTGTTTGTTAAGGGGTTGCGAACTAAAATAACCGTTTGCTTTAAAAGAAATAAATAATAAAGTAATATTGTCCGTTTAACCGAATTTTGAGATTAAATCTGCAATGCAAATGATTTTGCCTCTTTCACAAATAGTTTTGGGGTCCTTTTATATGTAGAATTATGTTACAATTCAAGGGCAACGCGCTTACAAATTGTTTAATTCGTTTGAATTCAGAGCTCACTATATATTGTGAACTATTATTTCTTCATTTTTATTCAGTGTTAAATTTTGAAAAGAAAAAAAAAACAATTCGAACACAACATTTTTAAGAACTAAGTTTCTAAACATACAATACCATGCTCACTTGAATGCAATTTGAATCTTTTCTTTTTATATAGAAAATATAATTCTGAGCACGAAATCAGCCGAATTTTTAGCTCGAGCACAAGCATGTAACATGTTTGAAATAAGAAAATACTTTAAACTTTCTCTTGTTGTTTTCCATCATGAAGAGGTCTCGAGAAGCAATAATGAAATAATACTTAAGTTTATAAATGAAGAGTAGATTACTTTATCCATTCTTCATACATCAAAGGATACTGGTGTTGGGAAGAAATATATGCGCATGTATTCATAATGCGGAAGCGATCGGTGCCAGAAAATTGATTGTGTTGTAGCACTTGGCATTGATATGTTTGCTCTGGGAATGTGCCACACTGATAAAGACCACCTGGGGAATGTGGAGGACAAGTTTTAATGTAATTTTAATTACAGAAAGTGTTTTCGCCTATCTAGAATAAAACATGAAAACCATTTTCATCCTAAAAGCTAAAATTTCAATGTTATTCTTTTCCTTAAACTTTGAGACAGGGAAGTTTTCTGGAAATACAAAGTCCTTCATCTGCATACTGTGGCACACATGCTTTGAAAAATAATCTTTTCCCAATGTACATATGCATCTTTTCTAAGATTTAATTCAAAATTGTACTACATGTAGTTTGATGTTTTTGGTGAAGTATGTATACGAAATAAGATTGACATTCTGAAAGTAGGAATTTATTCACAAGGTTACTCAAACGCAAAATTCGTCATCAGTTTCTGGGTCCCTCTTTTTATTCATTTATAAGGAAAAGAAATGGAAATGAGTTCAGTTTTACTTATATTTCAAAGAAGAAATAAGTTAAAGCAACAGTGCTCAAATGACAAGGATATTTGGACTCTCAATACAATGAAATCTTTAGATTTTGGGAACGCTCTTCACACATACATATGTTTCACAAAGCATTTCATCTTTGTGTCAAGGGTTTGTGCCTCGGAAATCCTAAAACAATAAATCTTTTTTTTTTTTTTTAAATCAGGAGTTCTAGGAGAGTCGTCAAAATGGAGGGTTTGGCAGAGGCGTGCGTTCTCTAAATCCCATACATCTTAAACTGTAGATCAAGTTACTGGTAGAACACAAAAAGGCGCTTTGTGTTTAATGTAGAACTTCAATGATTACCAACCGAATTTTAGAGATTTCTTCAACCCAAACTAAACGCTAAAAACGTTCCACGGAATAAGAGAGAGAGAGAGAGAGACCCTCCTGTTTTGAAAATCGACCAAAGTTCTAAAATGTTTGAAATTGTGATGTCTTCCAATTCCATGCAATTAACAATTGTAACGGTCTGCATTTTCTGTTTCAGTTGCAAAAGGTGAAGAACCCGAAGCAGAATTTCAGAATCTTGCCGGACCTTATTACGTTCGGCGCCAAAGCAGTGTCGACATACCCATTTGATCGCTGAATTATGTAAATTAAAGGTCCATATTTGCTTCTTGACAATAACTGCTAGGTATATTTCAAAATAAAAGCTGGGAGCATTCCGCTAGCGGAAATGGGGAATCGGTTCTAAGAGGAGAGTTATATGACTTAGATATGCATGGATGGGTATATGATAGGAGTCGGACAAATTTATGTAAATAGCTGTATAATTCTTAAGCTGGTGCCTCGGTTTTGCTTTCGTATTAAACTCTTGTGTTTTAGTTGGTCTTTTTGTACGTATTAAGATTTATCTCATTTCTTGCAGGGAAATATGAAATAAATTATGTTTGTACATATATCTTTTAATTCTCTTAACGTTTTACAAGAAGTACAATTATACAAGGTCTTTTTGAATTGTTAGTATGAAATAGATATAAAATTGTACATGAATAATTGATACAAAAATGGATTTAACGAAAAAAAAAAGCACATGCGTCGATTTCCAGCTTATAAAGTTTTATATCATAAATTGATCATTAAAACTTCTATGCATTTTTTTAAAAAGAATATTAATTTTTTTTTTTTTTTTCAGGGTTAGAGTCAAATTATGCCACAAAAATTTCAGGAATTTTACTGTTCATAAAAGGATTGGTACTTTAGAATAATTTAACACTTGGTCAAAAAACAAGATAGTAGGGGAAAAAATCTCTTTAGATTTTAATGTTACAGATAGATGACACAAAATGTGAATACAAATAAACACTTCTAGGTTTGTGCTCCGTCAAAGTGAAGGAATATACTAATTTTTTTTGACATTCTGCACTAAAGTGACAATTTTCACTCTTTCATTGTAGGCCAATGCATTCTTTAATTTGGTTGTATTGTTTAAACGAGTCGAGTTAATGGGGCCGAATGGGGTTTTCATTGCGCAATACTTCGCGCAACATAGTAAAATCAAACTTATTTACACTTTCAAAAAAACTGTTTTCACATAATTTATCAAGTTAAACAAAATTCAAAAAATTACAGGTTGAACAATCTAATTCCAATTTAAAAAAAAAAAGAAGACTTTTTAACAATTTTTCAACTGATAGGTAAAAGGACGTCTTAATAGTGTGTTTGTGACGTTATGATAAAATGAAGTTCTTTAAGAGGGGTCATAAAAATGTTTTAAAAGAAAAAAAAGTATAATATATACTCTCTTGAAATTTAAAACACAGGAATTTGAAAATCTCAAAATTATTTTCCGATATTTTTAAAAAATAAATCAGTAGTATCTCTCATACTTTGTGGTTCTCTATAAAATCAAGAAAATTAACAGTAAAACTCTAACAGAATTGATATTTTTTTTCATAAAAAATAAAGCACCATACATGTATCTCTACCTGTTATAAAAGGTTTAATATGAGGTTAATTTTGCTGTCTTACTGTATTTGTTTTGCAAGAAGAACTCTCGTCATCTCGTCACTTAGCCCTTGCATTAATAACATCACCTTTATTCTAATGATCGTTGTACTGACGTTGTTCAAAGGGAGATCATTTGAGTACATCCAGAGTTACCTTATGCAAATTTCACAACAAAACAGCTGAGCATTTGAGAGAATAGTATAAATTCGAGATTTCTGGAGGGTGGTGGAGGGATACTATGTATCAAGGTTATTTACAAACTGAAATCGGCTGTTTCCTTCAGAAAATAAAGCACATGCAGCTACATGTACCTGCACGTGCATGCATATATAGTACTGCAAGTGTAACCTTTGTAGCAAATGTGCTTCATCAAATTAGTCCTACTCGTTTTAAGTTTCACATATTGAGCAAATTCTTTTGACTTAAATCTTAAGATATTTTCCTTTCTTCAAACTAAAGTGTTACCTGTATAAATCACAATTGTGACTGAGTTAATTGTCTAGCATCAAAATAGTTTTAAGAAAACTTATTCTTTACAATGTTTGCCAATGCAAAGGTGTGAGAGGAAAATTGCACATACTCAATGCAGTTAAAAAAAAACTATACACAACAAAAAAGTTCCCGATTTCTTTCTGTTGTAAAGAATTTAACACAAGCTTATCTAAGATCATTGTTGCAGTCTTTGAAAAGTAACGGTTTTGTGAGCTGAACTCTAGTCATCACGTGACCAGTAACCGTTCACCGCTATCAATGGAAAGCGTGCGAGCTCTTACTGTCTCCTTACACTTACATGTGTATGTAGACTTACATGTGCATTTTGCATGAATATTAGATATATTGCAATGCCTTGCAAGTTACAAGATTGAAATGGAACCCCCCCCCCCATGCAATTCTATTATGAATTAATTTCCTGAATTTATTTTCGATGTTTCGGATTGAGTGAAATTTGTACAAATTGGAGAGTATCTTAACAAAAAGCTTACAATTTCATTTATTAACAATTTTTTATGCATATATGATTTTTAAATCCAGATATTTGATTACATTAGACACAAACCAAAGCCAAGTAAATAATGCCAAAACTCAACTGCGGTATTGTACGTCATTCAAAGATCACTTGAGATTTGTCATGTATATTTTAGAACAAATTGTTTTAATTTGGGCACATACATCATTTAATTTTTTTGATACAAGGCAAAATTTCCAGAATGAAGAGAGAGAGAGACACAGAGAGAGAATTCAATATACATCAACGATTCACAATAAACATCCATATTATTTTTGATTAGTTTGAAGAACTTATTTATTTATGAGTGTATCCAAAATGTTTTGCTTTTCTTACAAATCATTTTGTTTACCTTTCTTGACAATGTACTTTCTGTAAAAATTCAAATACATTAACAGTAAATCTCTAACAGAATTGATTTTTTTTCATAAAAAATAAAGCACCATATCTCTACCTGTTATGAAAGGTTTAATATGAGGTTAATTTTGCTGTCTTACTGTATTTGTTTTGCAAGAAGAACTCTCGTCATCTCGTCACTTGGCCCTTGCATTAATAACATCACCTTTATTCTAATGATCGTTGTACTGACGTTGTTCAAAGGGAGATCATTTGAGTACATCCAGAGTTACCTTATGCAAATTTCACAACAAAACAGCTGAGCATTTGAGAGAATAGTATAAATTCGAGATTTCTGGAGGGTGGTGGAGGGATACTATGTATCAAGGTTATTTACAAACTGAAATCGGCTGTTTCCTTCAGACAATAAAGCACATGCAACTACATGTACTTGCACGTGCATGCATAGTACTGCAAGTGTAACCTTTGTAGCAAATGTGCTTCATCAAATTAGTCCTACTCGTTTTAAGTTTCACATATTGAGCAAATTCTTTTGACTTAAATCTTAAGATATTTTCCTTTCTTCAAACTAAAGTGTTACCTGTATAAATCACAATTGTGATTGAGTTAATTGTCTAGCATCAAAATAGTTTTAAGAAAACTTATTCTTTACAATGTTTGCCAATGCAAAGGTGTGAGAGGAAAATTGCACATACTCAATGCAGTTAAAAAAAACTATACACAACAAAAAAGTTCCCGATTTCTTTCTGTTGTAAAGAGTTTAATACAAGCTTATCTAAGATCATTGTTGCAGTCTTTGAAAAGTAACGGTTTTGTGAGCTGAACTCTAGTCATCACGTGACCAGTAACCGTTCACCGCTATCAATGGAAAGCGTGCGAGCTCTTACTGTCTCCTTACACTTACATGTGTATGTAGACTTACATGTGCATTTTGCATGAATATTAGATATATTGCAATTGCAATGCCTTGCAAGTTACAAGATTGAAAAGGACCCCACCCCACCCCCATGCAATTCTATTATGAATTAATTTCCTGAATTTATTTTCGATGTTTCGGATTGAGTGAAATTTGTACAAATTGGAGAGTATCTTAACAAAAAGCTTACAATTTCATTTATTAACAATTTTTTATGCATATATGATTTTTAAATCCAGATATTTGATTACATTAGACACAAACCAAAGCCAAGTAAATAATGCCAAAACTCAACTGCGGTATTGTACGTCATTCAAAGATCACTTGAGATTTGTCATGTATATTTTAGAACAAATTGTTTTAATTTGGGCACATACATCATTTAATTTTTTTGATACAAGGCAAAATTTCCAGAATGAAGAGAGAGAGAGAATTCAATATACATCAACGATTCACAATAAACATCCATACTATTTTTGATTAGTTTGAAGAACTTATTTATTATTAAAAACAACATTTCTCACTGAGTGTATCCAAAATGTTTTGCTTTTCTTACAAATCATTTTGTTTACCTTTCAATGTACTTTCTGTAAAAATTCAAATACATTAACAGTAAATCTCTAACAGAATTCATTTTTTTTCATAAAAAATAAAGCACCATATCTCTACCTGTTATAAAAGGTTTAATATGAGGTTAATTTTGCTGTCTTACTGTATTTGTTTTGCAAGAAGAACTCTCGTCATCTCGTCACTTGGCCCTTGCATTAATAACATCACCTTTATTCCAATGATCGTTGTACTGACGTTGTTCAAAGGGAGATCATTTGAGTACATCCAGAGTTACCTTATGCAAATTTCACAACAAAACAGCTGAGCATTTGAGAGAATAGTATAAATTCGAGATTTCTGGAGGGTGGTGGAGGGATACTATGTATCAAGGTTATTTACAAACTGAAATCGGCTGTTTCCTTCAGCCAATAAAGCACATGCAACTACATGTACCAGCACGTGCATGCATAGTACTGCAAGTGTAACCTTTGTAGCAAATGTGCTTCATCAAATTAGTCCTACTCGTTTTAAGTTTCACATATTGAGCAAATTCTTTTGACTTAAATCTTAAGATATTTTCCTTTCTTCAAACTAAAGTGTTACCTGTATAAATCACAATTGTGATTGAGTTAATTGTCTAGCATCAAAATAGTTTTAAGAAAACTTATTCTTTACAATGTTTGCCAATGCAAAGGTGTGAGAGGAAAATTGCACATACTCAATGCAGTTAAAAAAACTATAAACAAAAAAGTTCCCGATTTCTTTCTGTTGTAAAGAGTTTAATACAAGCTTATCTAAGATCATTGTTGCAGTCTTTGAAAAGTAACGGTTTTGTGAGCTGAACTCTAGTCATCACGTGACCAGTAACCGTTCACCGCTATCAATGGAAAGCGTGCGAGCTCTTACTGTCTCCTTACACTTACATGTGTATGTAGACTTACATGTGCATTTTGCATGAATATTAGATATATTGCAATGCCTTGCAAGTTACAAGATTGAAATGGAACCCCCCCCCCCCATGCAATTCTATTATGAATTAATTTCCTGAATTTATTTTCGATGTTTCGGATTGAGTGAAATTTGTACAAATTGGAGAGTATCTCAACAAAAAGCTTACAATTTC